AAAAAAAAAAAAAAAAAAAAAAAAAAAAAAAAAAAGATAGGGCTGGGCTGGTGATTTAGCCCAGCGATGCAGCCACCTGCATTGCAAGCATAAGGTCCTGAGTTTGATCCCTGGTACCAAAAAAAAAAAATTGGGCCACAGTCCGGTACAAAATTCAACCCCAATGTTCTTAAATGGAATCTTAAATGGAAAGTAAAACATCTGCGAATATCCCTGGAGATTCCTCCAATGTGCCCAATGTTCAGCCGACGTGAACATCTGAAGTCAGTGGCTTTAGCATGTGGTTCCCCTCCTCTGGGGGCAGGAGACTTTCTCACGGTTGCTTCCTTCCACCTTTAATCAGGCATCTCAGGGCAGTTTATGGTCCTTGGAGAGAAGACAGGTGGGCTCATCCACAGGTGTGAGGCTCTGGTCCCTAACAAGTGTGTCTTTCCATCCCATGGACAACTGGAGACCTCACACAAGAGGAAGAAAAGGAGATGGAGAGACCGAATCTCCGTGTTCTGGGATTCAGGCATGAGAAGACCGACGTCTTTCTCTTTTTTCCCATTAAGCTTATCGGTACCTTTTAGGCAGACAATAAAGTTACATTCACCATTGGGAAGGCTGATTTCAATAAATGTGGTCAGTTGATTGAAAGATAATAATTAGCATTGGCTCCAGCAAAGGAAGACCCCGTATCTCCCATGAGCTTTATTCCAGGAGCGCTGACAACTGAGGCTCTGAGGGAGGAAACTATATGCTCAACATCACGGCACTGTGGCCCTGGCAGAACTCAAGAAAATGATCCCAGTGAGGCTTAACCCAGTGTGGACACCGCCTGGAGCTCAATTCATCCAGTGGGTCGATTGGGAGGAAGCAAGGACCCAGGGCTTCCTGGGTAGGAAATCCTAACCGCAGGCAGGCAGAATCCTGCGTTCTTCAGAAACGACCCTCTGTTGTTGGCTCTTCCTTGTTCTCCTGCCCAGGACTGTGGTGCAAGCCTCCAGTTATGCAGGTCTCTGAAAACTATATCCTACTAAAGTTCTCATGTTTATGTTGCAAGGACCTAGTTTTCAGGTCGAGGTGGGCTCCCTCTGTGCCCCTTGCCCAGAACAGAGCTGCAAAAATTCCATTCTGTATGACAGTCTCCCTGTATTTCTGTTCCTCTTTTTATGATCTAAAAATCTAAAAATGAATCTCTCCTGCTTATCCCTGCTTAGGATAATCAATAGGAACTGATCTTGGCATTAGTCAGCTTAAGATAATCACATGTTTAGTTAATTATAGAATTTGATTAATCAAATGTTCTTTAGAAAGAGAAACTGATTCTGTAAATGTAGGTATTAGTAATTTTCTGTAAGTGCCCTCCCAGTACCCCTCAAATATCCAAGAGTATGTGAAAGTTAAAAATAGCACCTATAAAAAGGGAGGGCCTCCCCAACCCTATATAATCCTGCTTCAAAGATGGGTCTGGGCTCTCGGTCTGAAGCCGCTGTGACGGTGACACCTCAGAGTCCAGGCTCGAGCTTGCAATAAACTCCTCTTGCAATTGCATCGGACCTGACTCCTTGGTGGTCTTTGGGGACTTCGCGACTCGGGCACAACAATGTCAGTGTTATTCACAACGTCCAGAAGGCAGAAGAACCCCTGTGTCTGCTGATAGGTAGGTAGGTTAAGCAGGGTGTGTTTTGTACACACAGCAGGGTATTATTCAGCCTCAGAAAGGAATGAAGTTGTCAGGTACAGAGATGCACACTTGTAATCCCAGCTACTCTGGAGGCTGAGGCAAGAAGATCTCCAATTTGAGGCCAGCCTGGTCAGTTTAGTGAGACCATGTTTCAGTAAAATAAAATAAATAAAACAAATCAAAATAAAAAGGGCTGGCATGTAGCTCAATGGCCAGTACCAAAAGAAAAGAAAAAAGATGTTAAATTTTTCTCATGTATTTTATTACAATAAAAAAGTTGGGAAAATACCAATAATATAATTCCCCTTTTCAGAATTCTTCTTCTTTTTTTTTTTTTGTACCAGGGATTGAACTCAGGACCTTGAGCTTGTGAGGCAGGCGGCAGAACCACTGAGCTAAATCCCCGGCCCTCTTGCTCATCTTTTGATAGATTTATTTCTACAGACTATGAACATGGTGCCTTCTCATCAGATTTTCTAGTTACGTATTTATTTCTATGTAAATAATCACATACTCAAACAATGACAGCTTTTTTCAAAAAAATTTTTTTAAATCTCTTTCTTTTCCCCAAATCTCTCTTTTTTTTTTTTTTTTTTTTTTTTTTTTTTTAGTGGTACTGGGAATTAAACCCAGGGCCTTGTCACTGAGTTGCATCCCCGACTCGGTTTTAATTTTAGGCAGGTAGTTGCTAAGTCACGAAGTTGCCCAGACTGGGCTCAAACTTTTCAATCCTCGCACCTCGGCCTTCCAGAGCGCTGAGATTACAGCTCAGGCCATCACGTGCGGCTTCCTTTCCAGCTCTTATCCTTTCAGTTTTTCTTTTTTTCATTATCCTTCTTAGGACCTCTAATATCACGTTAAACAGAAGTGGAGACAGTGCTCTTTCTAAATTAGGGCTGCTTTTAATCATCTGTTTAAAATTATGCTTCCTCTAGGTTTTATTTATATATTTATGCATATTTTATTTTATAGTGCTGAGGACTGAACCCAAGGCCTTGTCCATTTTAGGCAAGCATTAAATTACTGAGCCGTATTCCCAGCTCTGGATTTTATTTTTGTATACCTCCTTCACAGGTTAAATTTTTTTTGGGGGGGTACCAGGGATTGAACTCAAGACCTTGTGCTTGTGAGGCCCGCAGTGGTACCAATGAGCTAAATCCCCAGCAGTAAGTTTTTTTTTCAGTACTGGAGATTGAGCCCAGGGCCTCTGCACTCATCTGTATCTGTGGCCCCTTTTTTAAAATTTTGAGACAGGGTCTTGCTAAGTTGCTAAGTTGTTCAGGGTTGGCTCAAACTTGTGATCCTTCCTGCCTCAACTTCTCTCAATGCTTGGATTACAGGTTTATGCCACCACACTTGGCTTGGATCAAAATATTTTATT